TTTGTTTTTTCTTATAATTTAATTACGGTTAAAATACCATTTTGATCCCTCAATTTTTCACTTTGGCATAAAAAATGTCCTTCAACTTTAAAAAATATCAAATTTATCTTTAAACTTTCATTTTCGGTACCAAAACGCTCCTTTCGTCATTTAAATGATAGGTGGTATGTTAACTTGCCAACAAATTAATTCTTTTTTGGTTTAACTAATGACATGGAAAAGAAAGTATAGTTAGCCATTTTTTTTATGAGATGGCATTTTTATTTAATTTAAAAATAATAATTTTTTCTTCACCCACGTCATATTTCTTCTTCCTCTTTCATTTTATCTCTCCTTTACCTTTCCTTTTCTCTTACCTTTGCAAACCTTGGCTCTAGGTTTTCTCAAACGACCGAGAAGGATGTGATGATCGTTGCCGTCGACGACAGCGAGCACAGCGCCTATGCACTGGAGTGGACAATGCTACTACTGTTGTCGACCTTCTTTTTCTTCTCTTAAACCCAATCTAGGTTTTTCTCAAATAGCCGAGAAGCATGTGATGTTCGTCACCGTCGACAACAACGAGACAACACCTACGCGCTGGAGTGGACGATGCTACTACTCCCGTTGGCCTTCTTCTTCTTCTCTTAAACCCAGATTGACCCGAGAAGATGATAGGTCCACAACTGTGACTTGTGTCATCAAATCCAATCGGCAGTGAAAGTCGTCGAAAATGGAAACCAAGCGCCCCCCGTCACCACCACCTCCACAGCTGCCTCCTCTCAGGAGAGATGATACCGTTCAATCTTTGACCTTCTAGACGACTTCTTCGACTCATGTTGCTTACTCTTTCCATCTCTCCTCACTTTAGTGTTCAAACCTAATAACTAGCGAAGAATAAGGTATGTTTTAGCTTTAATTTGTATTTGGTGTTTTCGATTGACTTTTGGATCTCTTTGAATGAATTTTAGTTGAGTTAGAGCCTGTTTATTGGAGATATTGAAATGAGTTTACTGGATTTGGTACATCGAGTACAGTGTTTTGTTTCTAATTTCTTATTTGGATTTGGAGATGTGAGATAATTATTGAAGTTACGGAGATATTTTATGTGTTTCTCGTGATTGCTTTTTAGTGTTTGGAATCGGGATTACTATTCACTGAATGTGAATTTGGGGGAAAGTAAAACCCTAGAATTTTGCTTCTGAGTTTTGGTGCATTACTTTACCGTAGATGAGTTTGGATGGCTTTATCAATTATATTTAATATAATGGAATGATTTTTTTTTTTTATTATCATCAATTTCATCAGATTGTTAATTTATGTGATGAAACCTAGATCTCAATTTGAGAAAGGAAGAAGAAGGAGAAGAAAGAGAGAGAATAAGAAGAAGAATAAGAAGAAGATGAAGTTTGAGAGAGAATCGAAGATTGGGTTTGCAGAGGTTAAGTGAAAAGGAAAGGTAAAGGAGAGAGAAAATGAAAGAGGAAGAAGAAATCTGACATGGGTGAAAAAAAATTTATTATTTTTAAATTAAATGAAAATGTCAACTCATAAAAAAGATGGCCAACTATACTTTTTTTTTTTCCATGTCATTAGTTAAGCAAAAAATAGACTTGATTTGTTGGTAAGTTAACGTGTCTTTAGTCATTTAACTGATAGAAGTATCATTTTGGTACCGAAAATGGAAGTTTAAGGATAAATTTGGTATTTTGGTGTCAAAATGAAAAGTTGAGGGACCACAATGGTACTTTGACCATTCAATTACTTATCCAGATAAAGGAAAGAGAAGAGCATGGAGGGGAAAAATGTTCTTCCCTTCCCTTTTTCTTCCCTCCATTTTTTTCAATCCAAATATAAAATAAGTGTTCATTAGTCTAATAACGATTATTAAATGTATGGAGTGTAATGTGAGTCCTAACTTTACCAAATTTATCATGTGACTATTATTAAGATGTTTAATTATAACCATTAAATATGTGAGATATGATGTGAATCTTAATTTTATCAAATTTATCATGTGACTATTATTAGATATCTTAATATTTTTATAATGTTAAAACGTCTTGATTTTTCTTTTTCTCATATATATATATATTTGACAGGCGATTATCCACTAGAATATTAATACATAATCATGTAGAAACACTCAAACATAGAAAAATTCAATAACAAACACTTCTAACTCAAAAGGTTAAATACCTTTTTTGGTCCCTCTACTATAGGAAAAAGCCTCTTTTTAGTCCCTGTATCGAAAAAAATCCCCTTTTTGATCTTTACTATTTGAAATTCTATCCCTTTTTAGTCTTTTCGTTAAATTTTGACTGATGTGGCAGGTTAACTAACAAAAAAACTTTTTTATT